ATCAAGATAGATGGTGAAATAAAGAGCTTCCAAGACAAAAAAAGGCTAAAAGACTTTACCACTACAAACCAAGCATTACAGGAAATGTTAAAGGGACTGCTATAATTAGATGTAGAAATAAAGAGAATGAGAAACACAGACATAAAGAAACAAAATGGCTGTAGATAAGTCTTTTCAATAAATGGTGTGGGGAAAATTGGACAGAGGTACATGCAAAAAAATGAAACTAGACCACCTACTACACCATACGCAAAAGTAAATTCAAAATGGATAACAGACTTAAATGTAAGACATGAAACCATAAAAATTCTAGAGGAAAACATAGGCAGTAAAACCTCAGACATCTCTCGTAGCAATATGTTTGCTGACACATCTCCTAGGGCAAGATAAACTAAGGAGAAAACAAACAAATGGGACTGCATCAAACTAAAAAGCTTCTGCACAGCAAAAGAAACCATCAACAAAATGAAAAGGGAGCCCACTGTGTGGGAGAACATATTTGCCAATGACTCATCTGATAAAGGAGTACTATCCAAAATATATAAGGAACTCATACAATTTAACAAAAGGCAGGCAAACAATCCAATTTAAAAATGGGGAAAGGACCTAAATAGACACTTTCCCAAAGAGGACATACAAATGGCTAAGAGGCATATGAAAAAAATGCTCACTGTCACTAATCATCAGCGAGATGCAAATTAAACCACAATGAGGTATCACTTCACACCTGTCAGAATGGCTGCCATCAACGAATCAATGAACTACAAGTGCCGGCGAAGATGTGGAGAAAAGGGGACCCTAGTACGCTGCTGGTGGGACTGGTGCAGCCACTATGGAAAGCAATATGGAGTTTCCTCAAAAGATTAAAAATTGACGTGCCTTTTGACCTAGTGATCCCACTTCTAGGAATATATCCTAAGGAACCTGAAACACCAATCACAAAGAGCATATGCACCCCGATGTTTATAGCAGTGCAATTTACAATAGCTAAGACCTGGAAACAGCCCAAGTGCCCATCAATAGATGAGTGGATAAAAAAGCTGTGGCACATTTATACCCTGGAATACTACGCAGCTGTAAAGAGGAAGGGCCTTTTAGCCTTTGGCACAGCATGGAAGGAAATAGAGAGTATTATGCTAAGTGAAATAAGCCAGTCAGAGAAAGACAAGTACCACATGATCTCACTTATATGTAGAATATAATAAACAAAATAAACTGATGAACAAAGTGGATCCAGAGACACAAAGCATGGGACAGACCGAGGGATCTCAGAGGGAAGGTGGGGAGGGGAGTGGATGGGGAGAGATTAATCAAAGAATTTATATGTTTATAGGCATAACCCATGGACACAGGCATTAGTATGGGAAAGCCTGGGGGTGGGATGGATGTGGGGTGGAGGGGATCAATGCGGATAAAAAGGTGAAAGTAAAATAAAATAAAATCCTAAACCAAGGGAAAAATAAACTTTGTATAGATATAGTTATAGAAATACATATGCATGCATATATTGACATATAGATAAATAACAATGAATATTTTCAATAACAAAAAATAAATGTTATTTTTTAAAAGGTAAAAGCCTAGAAAGAGAAACAAATATGGTTATTATTCATAGCAATTTGGTTAGTGCAGTAAAGCAATGATTGACACATATTTCTTTTATTAAAAAAAAAAAACTCGCCATTTATTCTGATATTTCATGTCTTTGTAGGAAGTTTCAACATTTTCTACATGCAGTTCTTGTATATTTCTTATAGATTCCTATATACTTTTAATTTTTGTTGCTTTTTAAATAAATTCATTGATTATTGCTGATGGAATGGAATGGTATTGAATATTTGAATTGATTTCATATTTCTCAACTTTGCTACACTCCGTCATTTAGTCTTTACCTATTTCCAATTGAGAGATTGCTATTTTATGTTTATGAGGTCTTTTTTGTGTGGTTTTTCCCTCTTTAATTACAATTCTCTGTGCAATATTTGTATAAGATTAATTTTGCAATGAATCTGCCTATCTTTTCAATAATCCAGTTTTTTGTTTCACTGACATTCTCAAATTTGTTGTTACTGTTTGCTGTATCTCCTGTTTTCTATTTATGATAGCTTTTCTTCACCCTTCTTTGGGCTTTTGCTCTTTCTACTCTTCAACATGTTGAGTTTTGCATTTAATAGTTCTCCTTATTAATGCCAGGGTTTCTCAACATCAGCACTATTGACTTTGTGAGCTGCATAACTCTTTCTTGTGTTTTAGGAGACTTGTACTATGAACGTGGATTGTATGGCAGCTCCCCTAAGCCTCTATCCATTAATTGCCAGTAGCAATTCCCTCTTAGAAATGAAAAACATTTGAAATCATGAAAATGTGGGTCCAAATATTGTCAAATGCCTCTTGTGGTTGGGGAGAAATGATCATCTTTTGAGGACCACAATAGAAATTTGTAAATTAACCAAACGCATGTAACAAATTATTCCGTGAAACTGACTTAATTTGAATTGGAAGCAAGAAAAATGCCATGGTCCAGAGGATGATGTAAAACAGTAATGATCTCTGTAGCAAGTGAACAAGGAAGACCAGTGTCACAGCTCACCTGTGTTTGAAAACCTGCCAGCCAACTATCCAGAAATTCAGTAGGAGATCTTAGAATGAGAGCCATAATGTGCCTTGATAAATTTCCACATGTCCCAGGCTGTCTGGAAGACCATATGCAGGTATAGCTACATAATTGTTCAGGAAAGACCAAAGAGATCCCTTATTATTTATGTTTCTTTGGCTAAATGAGAGGACTTAAATGTGAACAGGAGAGACAAAAGAAAGGCCAGCAGATATTAAAAGCTGAATCAGATTAATAACTGCCTAAAGATTGTATGTGCTTCCCAATGAACACACAGATCCAATGGCAAGGGGATAAAGACTTAGTGGCTCTAGGTTTTTGAACACAAACTGTGGTCAATCATGCTGACACAAGGGTGATCCCTAGGAATCCAGAATTAAAATAAAAACAAAAATTAAACAACAACAACAACAAAACACAAAAAACTGAGGCATCTGTATCCATATACCACAAAGAAGAAAGGCTCCAAATAATTAGTGCAGGCAAGTCACTAAAGAGATAGAAAACTACCATAATCACTATGGGAGGATCCCATTTTAGAGCTGTCACTATCTTATATAAAACAAAATCTCTAGTTTCCAACAGAAGTTGCCAGACATGCAGAGGAATAGCAAAGTGTCACATGTACTTTGGAAAAAACAATGTCACTGATGGGGCCCAAATGTTATCAAATTCTCTGATGGTCTCCAGACAAAAGACTTCAAAACATAAACATGTCAGAACTAAAGTAAACCACATTTAAAGAACAAAAGAAATCATAAAAAAACATGCTTCTTCAAATAGAAGATATTTCATGAACATATAGAAATTATAAAAAGAGAATCAAATGGAAATTCTGTAGTTAAAAAGTACAGTAGCCAAAACAAAAAATTCACTAAAAGGACACAAAAGACTGGCATTACTCATAATATCCAAAGACTGGAAAAACTTTACGTGTTCATCAACTGGTAAATGGATAAACCATATGTGATATATCCATACAATGTGATACTATTGAGCAATAAAAAGAAATACAGTGTTCATGCAGTTCATATCAGCAAAGCTCAAAAATGTAACGTGAAAGATGCCAGATGCAAAAGACTATCTTTTGTATAATTTCTTCCATATAAAATATCAATATAAGGCAAATTTTAGAGACAGAAAGAATGGTTATTGCTTGGAGGTGGGGAAAGGAACCAGAATTGACTGCAAATAAGCATGAAGATTCTTGTTTTAATGATAAAAATGCTCTACAATTGGAGAAATTTATTAAAATAATTAAAAGGTTTACTTTAAATCATTGAATTAAGTTGTTTTTAAGTTATATGTTGATAAAGCTGTTAAAAATATGCTTTTCATATTGATATCAAATATAAATAGGAGGGCTTTTATGGATCAAGATGCATTGCGTTTTCTCACAAATATTTAAGAATCATTATAGTATTAGTAATGATTGTATATTTAGCCTTTATTGATCATCATTTGAGGCTTTTCAAATGTATAACCATATTATTTATGAGAGAGAAAATAACCATCATGATACAGATAAATGAATATACATTCAGAATAAAAATATTTGCTACTGAACTCTTACTCAAATAGCTTTACTTCTAAGTTCATAGGTTCAACCAATGCTTTTTATAGTCTACTAGTGGCGTGTGTGCACGTGCGTGTGTTTGTGTGCACTCACATACGCATATGTACTCATGAGAAAAGGTAGTATTGAGTGACATATTAAATGGAATGGAATGCTGTAGAAAATATACATTTTAGATTTCATAATTTTTTGGATATACATATGTATATATATGTGTGTGTATATATATATATATATATGAAATCCCTGTTATATTCCTTAAGGATTAAAATTTCAATAACTCTTTCAATTGACAAATGACATTCTACTTTCAGTCTAAGATTTTCAGAAATTAAATAAAAAGTCTTTTGACATATTAAACACTTGACAATAGTAGCAGCACTTTTTAGACTTCAGGCCTAACCATAAATTGAAACATAATGTCTATAGTAGATTATAAAATTATAATACACATCTGAAAATTAGGTGAAATTTAATGTATTGTTTTCATATTTTCACTGAATATACTCTAAAATTTTAAACTAAAACTTGTAACTAAACCTTATTAAACCATTCTAACCTACATTTTAGTAATACAAATGGCCAAACCAATTGCAAAACTATAGTTTCTTTCCTTTGCTTAATGCATGAAACATAATCTATTGATGATACTCTAAATAAATTCATAAGTTGGATTATTGCCCATTAGAAGAGATGTTTTGCTGACATTAAGATAAAATAATTTATAATCAGTAAATCTTCATAGTGCAAGGTTTACGGACAGTGATTATCCAGGACTGGTAAAAAAGAACATACAGAGGAAAATCTTACCACGCCAATGGAAAAATAATTATTGATGATACTGTAAGGCACTGGGTCTCCTTTCTCATCTTTGTCATTAGGTATAACTTCAAACATCCACCTGTCCAGCATGATCTCTGTGCTGTTTTCAATGTCTTTTAGGATTTTCATCAGATTTTCACCTTCATAACCTAATGAAAAAAACATTCTCTTGAGAAAGAAAACAAATCCAAAAGCTATATTTATACATGTTTGAGTGTGTAACATCCTTAAGCTAAATAATGCATTTTTAAAGCAAATCCTAATATAAGAAGAATCAACTATAATCTTATTTTACTCATACCAATATTTTATTTTTTAGTTTTCATTTGCAACTCATATTTCTCTCCTGTGGTGCTAATTTTCAGTGTAGCCAACCGCCAAAGGAGCATCTCTACTAAATACCCCACAAGAGTTTATATCAACATATTCAAAATGAAATTAACTCTCTGCTTCCATATCTTTTTTCTGTGAACTCTTTCTCAGAAAGGAAATAGCCTACACCTTGTCTCATTTGCATAACCACCACCCTAGTCCAGTTCTTTTCTCCTTTAATTATGACAATTATACATTTCTCATTTGGAAAACCGTAATTCTCCACATTTTCTTAACAGTTTATTTTACATCCCCCAGTTAATCTACTTTTGAAAACAGAAATGCCATTGTGTCATACTGCTTTTGCAATCCTTTCAAAGTTTCTGTTTGTGCTTCAGGTTCAATCAAATAAAATTGTTTGCCATAGCTATCCAGCCCCTGCATTATCTGGCTCATGATTATCTCTTCAATCTCATCCTAATCATTCCCTCAATCCACACCCATCTACCACTCTGACAGCTTCGAGGGTCACATCAGCTTTCATTTGGTCCTTTCAGTTCAGGAGCTATTTCTCCCTCCTCATACTTTAAAGTCAGCTTAACTGTTACTTCATCAAAGAGGAATTCTGGATATCTAGCAAAAAAGTTTACCTTATGGTTTTTCTCTAAAAATACACTGTTTGGTTCTTTCATAGCCTTGACCTTATTTTGTAATTATATATTTCATTGTTCATTGATTTACTGTCTGTGTACTCAATGAAAATGTAATCTTCCAAAGGGTAGCAGCCATTTATTTATTTGCTCACTCTCTATCTAGCACCTAGAACAGTGCCAGCACATGCTAGAAACTCATAAAGAGTTCAGCATTAATAGATAAATATTTTGACATATACTAAAATTCATGTGTCACCTGGCCGGGCGTGGCTCAGTGGATGAGCGTCGACCTAGGATCCAGGTGATCGGGGTTCAATTCTCAGTCAGGGCACATGCCTGGTTGAGGGCTTGATCAATGACTCTCTCATCATTGATGTTTCTATCTCTCTCTCTCCCTCTCCTGTCCTCTCTCTGAAATCAATAAAGATATATTTTAAAAAAATAAAAATAAAATAAAATAAAATTCATGTGTCTTTGGCCACTGATAATATCTTTAAAACAGTTTTATAAGAGAATCATTAAAGTATGATAAAAGTGGAAATTATATATCAATTTTGATACTTAAGCCACTTATTAGTTTGAAACGAAAAATAAAATTATTAATTTTCAAATATCAAAACTATTTTGCAGAGAAATATGACTAGAAGTGACATGCATGATTCCCATCCTTTTAATCAATATACATACATAAGCACTGGCAAATACAAGCATCTCACAAGCATTGGTTCTATCTATCTACCTATCAATCTATCATCTAACTACTTATTTTTAGGCTCTATGAGATTTACCTTAATATTTTATAATATTATTTTAATAAATTATATCCATAATGAAAATCAAAAATAGGTCATAGGCTAAGTTTTTAATTCTTTCTATCATATACACATATACATATTCATAACAGATTTCACCAGTTATCCAGACACTCATGGAACAATTCTTCTCAAATTTTGTTGTAAATCAAAGTTACTTAGGGAGTTTGTTTAAAAATAAAATCATCTGCCCTGGTCCCACCTCCAGAGATTTCTATTCAATATATTTGGGGTGAGGACAGGTCACTGTATTTTTAACAAGATCCCCAGGGCCTTCTGATTCATGCTGTCTTAGTAGACACTTTTCAAACATCTCTAAAGTGAGTTTAGATGTTAATATTTAGTACTCAATTCTTGCTGCTTTAGTAAAATCTGGTTTACTTTGGTGTCTTCAGTTAAGTACAGTCTATTAATGATGCTTCAAAATATTATAAGATCTCATCTAGGAATATTCTCCCCTTATTTACACTGTTCCATACACACTATTCCACTCAGAGTTCCTTGAATACATCAAGTTGCTTCCTACCTCTTGTCCTTTGAACTTGATGTTCCCTTTGGCTATAAAGTTCACCCCTTGGTCTATATGGTTCTGTCATCCCTCCATTACAATTCTCCCTATGTCATCTTATCATCGTGACCATGAGGCCTTTCACTACATTGATTACCTGTTTATTTGTCAATAGAAGGTTTCATAATTTACAGATGGCTTTATTTGCCACTAGAACTTAAGACTCTTTTGAATACAGCCTTTATTTTCTGTTTTTGACCCTGTATCCGAAATGCAGAACACACTGCCTGGTATAAAGTGGGTTTCCAAACAAGTGTTCATTCCTGGACAAATCATTCACTAGCCTTAACATTTTTCCTTAGTTTGTTGTTTTAACACTCAACTCAGAAATTAAAAATCTGACTATTAGTTTAGAGTTGATTTACGCTTATCTCAATACTTTCATTAGAAACCCTGGTGCCACAGAGATCTGGAGTCAACACTTAGTATCACATTAAACCCCAGCTTCCACGGTCTCTTTGTCCACTATCTGTTGCTCTACCCACAACTGTTGTTCAAAATCACATACTATATATCTGACAGCAATTATATTTGGTAAAATCACATGGCAGCTGCCATGCAGTAAAGAAATGCTGGATTTATGGAGGGGGGCATGTTCTACACCACATTTCTATTTTACTAAGATTTTATTGTTGTTAAAGCTCTTTACCTCCTCCCCATCTCAGGCATCTTGCTAGATCATTTCCGGTCCCAAGAGGCAGAATGGCAACTGGAGGATGTTTGACTACATTAGCTTTTTCTGTGGAATGGAAAAAGAAACAAAATAAAATTTTGATCACAGATAGAATAACAGTAAAAGAGCTAGGTTGACAGGAAATTAAAGCATTCCACTAGGTACTTATATTTTATAGATATATACAATGATAACTTATATTAATCTCTATGCATCTGTAGCGACTTATAAAACACAAACAAGTAACATTATTCACAAAGTGACAGGAATTTCCAAGTCTCATGCATGAGGAAAGCTTTGAAAATATACTAACCCAATTAAAAATTGTGGTTTAAGTTGGATTTAACTCCATTGAATTAAGTCAGACACAGAAACAAATGCCATGTGATTTCACTTATATGTGGAATCTAAAGAACAAAATAAATGAACAAACAAAATAAAAACAGACTCAGAGATACAGAAAACAAACTGATAGTTGCCAGGTAGAAGAGGGGTTGTGGGGCTGAATGAAAAACGTTAAAGGATTAAGGGCCGCAAATTGGTAGTTACAAAATAGTCACAGAGGTGTAAGGCACAGCATTGGGAATATAGTTGATAATATTGTAATAACTATGTATGGTGCCAGGTGGGTACCAAGCTTATCAGGATGATCACTTTGTAAATTATATAAATGTCTGACCACTATGCTTTACACCTAAAACTAATATGAAATAATACTGAAAGTCAACTGTAAATGAAAAAATTAATAAAAGATTTCAATCTTAAAAAAATTATCAGGGGTACAAGTATATATAGTGTAGGAATATACATACAGGGGCACCACCAGGGTGGAGGGGTAAGTCCCTATATAAAGTCCTACCGCAACATCAACTCAAAAGTACATTTTACTTTAAGGAATAGAATAATTTAAAAATAGATGAATTCTAAACACTAGTAAAGTGCAAACAATATCCTTCTTTGTTCCCACCCCTGGTGTTGCTGTGTCAGAATAAACGTCCTACTTTGAGATTCAACTTTACATAAAATAGTGCTTTGAGTTCAAAGCAATCAAGATCTCTGCCACTGAGATTCTATATGCTTTTGTCTGAATCATCACATGCCTTGAATAATTTAACAAACATATATTACTTTTCTTTATTTTTTCTCTCTTCTCAGCAGCTCAAAGTCAGTGTGTGTCTGTATGTAAGAACAGGGAGGAAATAGATTATCTAGGCATGTACCACAGTTAATAGCCAAGGCTTAGATTTTAGGAGTTAAAACACACAAATAATATCCTTCTGTTTTCACTCTAAAATCCTCACAAGTTCTCAAAACAGCTCAAGCAACTCTTTAATATTTACAATTATTGAATTCTGCATTTCTCTTTAAGTATGACATATTAATACTATTTACATCTTTTATTGTAAGGCCAAATAACACAGATTTTACTGCTCTATTTGTTGCTGTTGTTAGTAGATTAAAGTTGTTAGATCCTTACCAAAAATATCCTGACAACTTGTATTCATTTTCAATTTGAATATTTCCACATGTGTGAAAAGATAGAATATTCTTACCTGCACAGATTATGTGCAAGTTTGCTTCAATTTATACAGATAGTTAAATGTATTTTGAATCAATTCTTTCCTTTTTGTGAAAGGGACTATTTTTTAAAAAGAATTGGTCATGCAGAAACTGAAGTGAGAAATGAGAAGTGAATATTTGTATTAAATTTATCTTCTCATAAAGGCCGATTCATGATCTATTTATTGAGCAGTAGTCAGTTCTGACAACTGACTGTCTGTAAAAAAACAGATATTTTTTCTGACTATATGAAGCTTTTCTTGTAATTCATGTCTACCTTTTATCCTCAAACAAGTACCTGTTCTGTTTGCTTATAAAAATCAAGCTTTTACTATTTGGGTAGAGAGGCAATATAAAATAATGTTGATGTGTGGGTTGTAATCCCAGCTCTGTCAGTTCACAGCTACAAGACTTTGTTCACTGTTTTAACTTCTTCAAGCCTTAGAGTCCCTATCTCAAAAATGGGATTATCAATCCTATATTATGGAGTTGTGAGAATTAAGATGATTTGAGTAAAATTCTTAGCAAGAGGCCTATTAGAGTATACATGATAAATAAAAATTAGCTATAATTATGATAATAATGATTGATGATGGTGACATGAATGTACACAGAGAGTAAGGTTTTGAGTTTCCATGCTTAAACCAAATAAGTACATCTATTTGACAGACCATCACAAATGCTCCTTGGCTCCCTCTCTAGGGCAAAGAAACAAATGGAGCCTGATTTTAAAAAAATAACTCTGAAGGTTTAGTAAACTCCATGAGAAATGGATTAAAAAAGAAGGATTTCCAGATAATTATAAATTATTCTGTCAATTAAAATTTTTAAATATAGAATATATTAAACCAGTAAATAGTGTGCAACATGCCAAATGTACAAACTGTAGCATCCAAACATATCAATGCATTAATAAAATAAATAAATAAAATATACAGAATTTAAGGTTACCACTCTCACCCCAGCCACGTTAAATATGTGTCTTCATTACCTATGCAGTCCAAAATCCACCCCACGGTTCCATCTCCACCGCAGGCTAACACTCTGAAGTCGGAAACATCGCGGAAAAAGTTTAACCTGAAAAACAGGCATGTCATGGCACATGATTGATATTTTAAAATTAGGACTTTTTTAGTTTCACATTCTTAGAATTTCATCTAATAAAAGTATTTTTATTTTATGAAAACTATAAAAACTCAATGGTTTTACTGAAAAACAATTCTTATCTAGAATGTAATTTTAAAAGTATTAACATGTCTTTTTAAATTTTTAGTTATTGATTATTTTTTTTGAGAGAGAGAAGAAGGAAGAGAGAGAAAAACATCAATTTGTTGTTCCCCTTATGTATGCACTCGTTGTTGACTCTTGTATGTGCCCTGATGGGGGAACAAACCCACAATCTTAGCAAATGGGGAAAATGCTCTAACCAACTGAGCAGCCCGGCCAGGGCCAACATGTCTTAATTTAAATAAAAAAATAGGCATGCACGATTATAAAACTGGCATGTATGTTTACATGAATATATTTTAGTTATATATTCTAGATTCTATTACAATATATATATATTCTTTTTATGAATTCTAAAGTTTAAAAAGAAAACTTTATAAATTACAATAATTTTATCAAGATAGTCTCCCAGATGTAATCTGCAGTTTACATAATCCAATGTCACATATAATACAGTATTTTATTTCATAATTTCTATTAACCCCAAACTACCTTTTGAATAATTATGTAAATGCTACTATTTTGTCAGGAAATAGGTATTTGAGAGGATTCGGCCTTCTCCACTACTGGAGAAACAGAACGCACTGCATTTGAGATTCCAGCCGACTAGTCCAGGGTTTCCTCCTGACTTAAATCGGCAAACAGGAGGCAGGCTTCTCCTTGTCTTTTGACCTGCCCACCAGGCTTGGTGTCCAGGAGCTCTCAAGCCCCTTGGCTGGGTCAGCCGTAATAAATGCCCACCGCTTCTGCTGTTACTGCATGCAGCGTGCATGTTAATGCAACCTATTTTGGGGATTACAAAGGCAAGTGATGCACGCAGTTATATAATTGTACATGCCTATTTTCTTGCAATAAGAGAACTGAAACAGGACATACATATTTGGAATGTGTCTCTTGACTTCCCTTGCTCCAGAGATAACTACTGTTAATCATGTAATATGTAATAATCCAAGATTTTTTCTGTATATATTTTTATATGAACGTGCACATATATTTCATTATACACATCTTTTTAACATGAATGGGATTATGTTATACATCCTGTTAACTTATTTGTTTGCATTTTTTTTATTTAAACGTTTCTTTTTATTTTCTTATTTTTAGAGAGAGGAAGGGAGATTGATATTGAGAGAGAGAGGGGGAGAGAGAAAAACTTCAGAGAAACATTTATCTGTTGACTCCCACATTCGCCCTGACCTGGGATCAAACCCACAACCTGAATATGTACCCTGACCGGGAATCAAACCAGTCACCTTTTTGTGTAAGGGATAACTCTCCAGCCAACTGTGCCACACCAGCCAGGGATATTTAAACATTTCTAAGACATCTTTCTGTGTCAGCACACATAGTCTTGCCTCATGATTTGTAATAAGGGAATGTATTATGTAGGTTGCACATTCCATGACTTGAATAATTTTTCTTCATGTAGTTTTAAACTATTTTTACCGTTTCACTATTACAAAAAAGTATTGTAGCTAACATTATTTCAGGTACATTTATATAAAAATGTGCATGTTTTGAAGGCTAATCATGTAGAAGGAAAAAGTTTCACCAAACCATCATATGGCTCTCTAAATGGCTCCCATTGTAGATGTAAGCTTCCATTTCTTGCAACTCCAAAACAATGCATATAAACAACTGTATCACATTTCTTCAATAAGTGAAAACAGCATCATGCTATTACTATAAAATCACACATCCCTGTTTATTAGTGGGTTGAGTATATTTTTGTAGGTTTAAGACATGTGTGACCTTCATCTTCAAAGTCTTGTCCCCTTTCCAATGAGCTCTCTTTCATTTGCTTATAAACTTTTACATATTATAAGTGATATTTTCACTTAAATTAGCATCAATAGAAAAAACATTTTGTTAAATACGAATAAAGCATAAATAAAATAGAAATGTAAAAAAAATTACCTAAGACCTCACCATCTGATAAGAACCATGAATATATAGAACATGAAATTTTCATTTATTTTCTTATTTATTATACTGTGAATATTAACCATTTGTTACATGTTACAGTATTTTCTTCCAGTCTCTTACCAATTGGTTTGCTTATATTACATAATATGTACTATGTATAATATAAACACCTATATTATGTGTAATATTATGTATAATATAAAACCAGCTGCCCACCCCAAGGGTAGAACATTTCTGATAACTTACATATACCTCTAGGTCCTTTCCGGATAGCATCCCACTTTCTCATTCACAAAGATGAGCACTACTCGTAATTATGAGTTATCATGTGCATGCCATAAACAACATATTGTTTGCATTTTGCTTTTTACATTAAGCATTGTTACTAAAATTTATTCATGCGGAAAATGTTCTCTCCATGTGTAGTTCAAATTATTTGATTTCTACTACTAAATGCAATTTACATGAATATGCTTTTGAAATCCATGTCAAGGGACATTTGGAGTGGTTAGATTCATATTCTTATAAAAACTGCACTATTGGGCATGCTTTCTACTGGTCATGAGCAGTGGCTACTTTTAGAGTAGAATTTACTTACATGCAACTCTTGTTTACAAAAGAAGTACCAACACATATGTTCATTAGCAATGTAAAGATTTGACAGAGCCAATGCTCTCTAACACTTGTAATGTCACACTTCCTAATTTCCTGTTTCCTCTTTTGTAAAATGCCTGGTCATGTCTTTTGTCTCTTTTCTCTACTATTTTTTTCTTGTTGATTTGTAAAAATATTTATTTATTTTTGGAATTATCTTCCAAAATTTGAAAGATTTGTGTGTTTTTTAATGTGTATTTTCATGCACAAGATTTAGTTTTAATGTGTTCAAATGTATCAACTTTTTCTAAGTGGCTAGCACTTTAGTCTGTTTTGTGTGTAAGAAAACTGCTTACTCAAAGACCAGAAAAAAATTCACAAAAGTCTTTTAAAATTTCAGTTTTTTTTTGTTTTTTTTTTTTATGCAGTGGTTTGAGATAGGGATTAGAGTCCCTATCTCACACCACCACATAAAATTATATAATGTATATTATATTGCATGTTATATAAAATATATAAAATATTATACTATGATACGTATAAAATTTGACTGCAGTGGTGTGAGGTAAGGATCCCTTCATTCACTCCACCCCCATCCTCGGCTCTCTTTTTCACCCTTTTCCTCTATTTCGTTCCCCCTTTCTCCCTTCCTTTTTTGCTGTTGTGCACAAATTTTTAATCCGCATTTTTATTAATGGATAATTCAACTTTCTACCAGGTGAGCTCCATAAGTCAAATTTCCATATATGAGCACTTCTCTTTGGACTGTCTATACTATTTTATTCCTGAATTTGTCCATCTCTGTGCTAGTAGCACAATCTTATAATTACTATTGCTTTATGGTAAGTCTATATCTCACAGACCATGAAGAATCTAAGATATTATTCCTTCTCTGCTTTTCTATATGCATTTTAAAGTTAACTTATCATATTCCAAAAAAATAAAAATTTTTAAAAAATCATAATTTTCATTGTAGTTACATTAAGCCTATAGATCAATTTGGGGACAAATAAGAACCTGTATAATATAAATTCACTCATCCATGAAAACAGGGTTGTTCAATTGATTTAGATATTCTTTAATGACTTTCAATAAATGTTTTAATTTTTGCAGATAGACCTTGCATATAATTTATTAAATTTATTCTTGTTTGTTTCACAGTTGTGTTGGTATTTTAAAAATATTAACTTTAAAGGTTTTTGTTACAGGTGTATACAAATATATTTGACTTTTATGTATTGATCTTTTAACAGACACATTACTCCTATTTTGTATATTGCCTATATTTCATTTGGAAATTCATTTGGATTTCTATGTAAACAGCTGTGTCACATGCTAATAACAATGGTCCTACTAGTGACCTCTAATTCATATAATTTTTATTTCTGTCCTTGTTGTGTTGTGCTGGTTGGAGCACCAATATATTGTTGAATTGGAATATTCATAGATAACCTCCATATCTTGTTCCTGAATTTAAATGGAATACTTCCAGGATTGTCCTGTTTGAGGTAACACTTAGTGTAGGGATTTTCTTTTTCTTCTCTGAATGACACATATTATAAGGTTAATAAAGTTTCATTTTATTCTTGTTATAGTAATTTTTATTATAAATCAATGTTAATTTATTTCTGCATATTTTGAGATGTTGATATGGTTGATCCCATTTAATTAGTAATACACATTTCTGCATTAAAAATCATTCTTATAATCCTTCCATGTACTTAAATTGGACATTGTTTATTAATGTGTTTGTAGGGAATTGGATTTGATTATTTGTTTAGAAGTTTTACACCTAATTTCATGAATAGAATAGACTAACCATTTTCCTTCCTGATATCACCTCTAATTTTTATCAGAATTATTGTCTCATGAACTGAATTGCAGAGTACGCCTTCATTTTCTATTTTTGGAAGCATTTGTATAATTTTGAAAGTTCCTTAAAATTAGTAGCACTTGCATATAAACTATTCTGGTGAGTCTTTGATTTCCTTTTTAGTTTTTAAATAGAAAGGTCTTAAATAATTGTTTTAATTCCTTTAATAACTATTGAACCCAGTTTGTTTCTAATTCATCCTAAATCAGTTTTTGCAAGTTAAATTTTGGTATGAAGTTATCTATCTCCTTTAATAATTACTGAAAAAAATCCTATTTTCTAATTCTTCCTAAACCAATTTTTGCCAGTTATATCGTTATATTTCTGCATCAATCTCTCTCTCTCCTAAGTTTTCAAATATTTTGTCATTGAAGCCTACAAAAGCTTTACAAAATATGCCAGTGCCTGAAAAGTTTCCATAAAGATCATTGTTTCTGGTGAAAGTCTAACCATCCAT